CCCCAAAACCCCAAAACCCCAAAACCCCAAAACCCCAAAACCCCATGGGGAGTACAAATAGTTGACCTAATAAAGATACATAATTATTGATATCCAAATGTACAATCCATTGCATGCAGCTTCAACAGGTAAGACCTTGTGAAAATAACCAACGACTACTGTCTTAGCTCAAACCACTAGCTTAAACAGCAAACGGCCTAATAGTCAAGTTTTACTAGCCGCTAGTGGGCGAATAGAGAAATTTCTAGTAAGATAGACAAATTTTATTCATCATTGAATATTATTTTTAACGAGAGAAGCACCAGGATGAGTCTTGAGATTGGAACATAGACTTGTGAATTTAACATGATAGATCTGAGCTTCTAGTACTTTTAGGTAGCCTAAGTCTTGACTATAACAAGTACTATTATCATCATTAAAATCCCTTAAAAATTCTTCTACCACTATCTCTATATCTCATCAATTTCTTCTTTGAAATTATCACCTGGTGATTTTTAGAATTTTTCAAGAAGAAAAGTTATTTTGATTTTGTAATCAAGGTTTTACCACTTTTATACAGCCTTGAGAAAGAGATTATTAGAAAATTATAGTAAAGGATGCTCTGATATCTTTACAAGATATCCTGGTTATTCGGTCTTTAGAACATTAGAAATCATCCTAAGACCCTTATTAACTTATTCTTATAGAAAAAATAGACTTGTTTCAAAAGAGGCCTATTTTTCCTATTTTGCAGCTGGAAGTATCCCTTCAAGATTTCTGACAATGAGATTATAAGAAAATTCATAGATCTTTGCCGAATTGTGATATGAAAATTGATGATATATATTGACTTCAGAAGCACGATACATCAAATCAGAGAACTCCAACTGTTCCTCAGGTTTCCTCACAGATGCCTTCTTTGCAGTTCAAAAATGCTAACAAATCAGAATACTCTGAGGATCTTGGCAGTTCATCAGGGAGCCAAATCAGCCCGATATCTTCATTTTCTATAGTGAAGTTATCAAGAAGACAAATGAAGACTATCGAAAGAAATTTTACTAATTCAAATGCAAGAAAAGATGTAGTCTATAAAGCTATACTCAGATTCTTTAGGAGAGAGTGTCAGTTCGAAGTCAAGCAGATGAGATGCAGGTACTCTAACTATGAGCAGATGAATGGAGTCTCCTGTAACCATCTTGATGAGAAGTCTACCACTTTTCTCCAAGAAGTGCTAGGGTTATCAGCGACGCATCAACTAAAAGAGCTGTTCTCAGTACTAATCTCTTTCAACCCTATTAAACCCGGCCTGGCTGCTTCAAGCTATGTCTTCAACGATTTGCTCACTAATAGCGTTAAAAAATTTAATAAAAAGAATTTGGGCCTACTATTTTCCAACGAATTATTAGCAAAAGTGTTCTTAGCCTTTTGGAAAAATCAACAAAGATTCCAACAAATGGTTACTAGCCTAAACCAAAAGAGAATTGAAGAAATAAACCAAAGAGCCTTCAGATACTACCTCAACAGTCTCCTCCATACCTGCACTCAGACCCTAAACATGCCAACTCATAAAGACCCATAACCCTAATTTCTGCTAAAAAATTATCAAAAATTTCATTGCTTTTAGTCCTATCCTACCTTTCTCAGTTCAGTTATGACTGTTGGGATTTTGGTTGCCTGGCTTTGGATTATAGGCTATAGGTATTTTATTTGTAATTTAATTGATTTTTGTCAGAGGTTTGTTCAGGTGGTATTTGAAGGTGTCTCGAAGGTTTGTAGAACACTGAGTTTGAAATTTATGATATTATAAGACTTCAAATAAATAGAGATTAATGAGGGATGAGAAGAATTAGACAGTTCAGGGAATAACTGAAGTTGATAATTTTTTCAAAGTTTTAATAGAGTTTATATGCCTTCTAAATTTTAGTGAACTTCAAAAATTAATATAGTATGAGAAAATAGGGATTAGAAATGCATTAAATGGTGAAGACTTCTCGTATATTTTTGATTTTGAGGCTTCTAAAGTATCTGAAGATGCATCAAATTTAATCCAATCGGATCTGAGAAAAATACTCTAAAAGTCTGAGAAAAGCCTCTTATATATAGTATCCTTTGACGACTTATGGAAGCATTGAGAATAATATTTACTCTCTGGCTCTAAAATAACCAAAAATTTTGTCGAAATTTTCCCAATCGTTTTGAATGGTAAAATTAATAATTGAAAGACCGTATCTTTACCACTTGAAGTTTTTATAAAAAGTTGGTAGTAAATTTCACATTTTGGTGGGCCTAATATTTTATTTCAACAAATATGTCAAATTATTTACGATGTTGATACTAGTATTTCTACCTCAAAATCTGGCCTTAAGCCTAGTTTTTGAGAAATATTATTTCAGGAACAAATCTGGTTTAATTTGTATTATAAATAACTTTTATCGCGAATTTTATTGATGAATAACAACTTTAAAACAATGAAATGGTTCATTTATTGATGAATGAGTGCATTGAGGAATATGGTTGCTCATAAAGGGTTCTAAATATTTTATCTTTAATTATTAGCCATTCTTATGCTATGGTTTTTGGACTAATTTTTTGAGATAATTTTTTTGATGAAGCAGTGCTAATTGTTAAAATCGTGGCCTCGAGAAAGAATTTCTTACAGTTACATGAGTATGCCAATTGGGATATGTGTAAAAATTTTGAGAATATCAGCCTATTATTAAAAAAATCCTTTGAAATAGCTAAATGTTTTAGCTCATGAGGTATCTCCAAAAATTGAAGGTTAATTATAAACATATCTTTTATCAGGAGCCTGACTTATAGTGATATCTAAAGAACTTCAGAGATATGTAAGAGAAATTTTACTAGCACTTTGAATCAGTTTTGGCTCTCTTAGTTATATTTTAGAAATTTAAGAAAGACTCTCTTAATTTTCAGAAAATCCAAGATTTCTTAAGTATTTTTAAGAAATTTTTAATTGGTTCAGATAAAACTTTACTTGTGCGGTTTTTGAGGAAAAGGTCTTTGTCTTCATATGAGGCTACGAAATTCAAGAATCGGTTAATTCATATTATCTTATTTCGTGTTAATTGAAAATATTCAAGAGGAAGAAGAATGAGAGGAAAGCTAGCATTAAGGTTATAAGTTCGACTAAAATCAATAAAAATTAAGCGAAGGAGCAGAGAGGAAGAACAGAAGCGTAGTTCAATAGTGAGCAATGGGCTGACTGAGGGTGTTGGGTAAAGGGGTTGGGAAGAAGGCTTTGGGGGTGGCAGGTGAGGAAGGAATGGGATGGAAGTTGGGGAAGGGGGGTATTATAGAGAGGGTGGTTTTGTAGGGTTTGTAGGGTTTGATGTGAGGTTATGGAGCGGTTGGTATTGAGAAAGTAGTGGGTTGGGAAAGAGTGTTGTGAGATTTATTTGGATGCTGAAGTGGATATTGGAGGGATTTCTTCGATTTTTTTGGATTATTCTCAGCAGGAGAGTATGTTTTAAATGAGGTGTAGAAATTAATGTACTGAGCCAAATAATAGATTGCTTAGATTTTAGAATTTATTCAACAGAGCTAAAACATTTCGGGGTTTTGGGGTTTTGGGGTTTTGGGGTTTGGGGTTTTGGGGTTTTGGGG